AGAGATTTGTTGTTTGAAAGGTAATAAAAATTCTCATCGTTCAATCTTACTGAGCGAACCTGGGTATGTTATACTACATGTTTCTCATCAGATATGCTAGTTAGGTGAAAATTAGTCTGAGTAGAGTTATCTTGAAACAGGATTTTTCTTAGTAGAGAAGTTTGAGTTGATGGAGAAGCTGAGTTCTTGGATGCGTTGGTGTTCTGCTTTAATGATTGTTGTGTCAACTAAGCCAGTTTTTGTTTAAGGCCATTATTTTCTTGAACTAGTTGATCGTCTAAAGATTCTGCCTCTTCTAATAGTTTGTTTATCCTGTTTCAATCTATCAATGTAGTTTGTATTGTCATCAATTTCAGTTTTAAGCTCGTTAATTATTTGCTTCAAGCTTGCTATCATGTCAAGGTCCATATCACTCGCTAGATTCGAGCACTTAGCAGAACACAGTAATAGGTTATCCTTAATTATTATTACCACACTTTGGTTGAGTCTTGATCGACAGCTCTTATGAAAAACATTGTGGCATAGCATACATATCCAAATGTTCTGTGCTTTATTTTTGAAGCATTTAAAGGAGAAAGCCATTTCAGAACAAAACTCGAAGCAGGAACAAAAAATATCAATTTAAAATATTTATAAAGGTTTATTACTTTTGTAGGTATTTTTCTTATCAGTTTTAACCGGCACCATAGGGTACCAAGGCAGATAAGAGAATTTCACACACTTTTTATTTTTAACAATTATTATTGGGAGTAGTTTTTTGTTAATTTTAATGGGTACGGTACTTTATTTTGGGTGGATTATTCGCAAATATTAAACACGAACTTTTAAGCTTTATTTTAAAACCACTTTCAATATTTTTCAAACAGGAGAATCGGCCTAGAGGTCAACCTTCACAAGACGCAGATTCTGCACCAACCCGCACCAGATACTAATCCCCAAGCCCCAAATGTAACCATAAGCATAAATGGCCATTCTGTGCAGAACGTAGAACACAACCCATACACTCGATGCCCATACCTTGGGAGTCATCTATTAACGACCAACATCGATTGAAGTGTGCTAGCGCGGCATTCGAGCGACTTTCAGAGAGAGTCTTCAACTATGACGATATCAGCGCTGAGACCAAACTTCACATCTACCATATGTAATTGTAATAGAGTAAAAATCAAACGAGAAGAAGCCATTGACGTCAGCGCTGACAAAGAAGGCAGATTTCCTTTTCTCAGGGTCCCTCCCATTCAAAGTGAGACAAACGATAACGCGTGTGGCTTCTTTTCGTTTGATTTTTACTCTACCAACATTTACATATGGCTGCGAAACATGGACCACCTACAAAAGATATATAAAAAGCCTAAAAAAATACCACTAGCGATGGTTCTTTGCCATCGATGGCAAGATGGCAAAGAAGGATCCTATGGATTAAATGGCAAGACCGACGAACGAACATAGTGTGCCGCTCATCATTAAGCACCAACTTTGCTGGACAGGTCACCTCGTCCGCATGCTTGGAACACGTCTTCCACAACAGATTCTCTACAGTCAACTGGAAGAGGGAAAACGAAATCAAGAAGGTCAACAGAAGCGCTAAATATGGCAAAGTGACGCATCGATGCCAGCAACTCGCAGACGACGGCAAATGATAGGCCCTCATGGGGTCGAGTAGTCCGGACCACAAACTTTTGAAGAACTGCGACGCAGACACGAGACCGAAAAGTGGGACCGCAGGAAGGAGCGAGAGAACAGAGAATAGATAATGCTGCCAGAGACTGTGGAAGAATATGCGGCTCCAGAATCGGTTTATAGCCATCAGAAAACGCACAATCGACGACAATAGTATAGAATAAAAGATAATCATACTTAAATCGCCTATGATGATGATGAATTATACCACAGAGAAATTATAGGCAGTCTACGATCCGATCATCCATTGAGGAGTAATTTTAAATTTTATGAAATAGTTTTCATAGTCATCTACAATGCAACCTACTAAAGGTATCATGGGACAATGACGAGCTTGGTTCGATGCCAATGGGCAATATAACCCCTCAAGTACAGTCTGTGTCCAAATGCATGGCATTATTTAATTCGAAACAAATGAATAAATTTAATGATGGAATTTTCCTAGAATAAATTTTTACTAATGCCAATATTAACGTATCTGCCAATGATATAGATACCGCTAACCATCCAGCTTTATCATTTGTGGTAGATTATGATACCTACTAAATGTGATTATTTTAATTTTAACTATGACTATTTTTATTACAATTTTAGAGGGGCTAATTATGTGGATATCAATAGGTATTTGGTATTTATCTTACATGAATTGGAATGAAATCCTGGAATGTTTCTAATGTTAATGAGGCTTTAAGCAAGTTTTATGATGTATATTATGTTATTGATATTTATGTTCCCAAATGTCGATGTAAAACTCCCAAATTTCCAAGATGGTATAATGCTGAGCTGAAAAGCACGATATTTCAGAAGAAAAATGCTCACAAGCAATACAAAAATACTAGATCGACTGCAGGTTATCAAAAATTTCCATTCCTGCGACATCAACGCAGGAAATACGCTTCTACAAGTCATCCCGAATATATTCAGACTCGAAAATGAAGTTACAAATAAAAAAGATTTTTTGAAATTTATTAACTTAAAAAAAGATGCCTTTTCAGCAAATGCTATGCACTTGAATGACTCAACCAGTAACTCCATGGAATCTACTCTGTTCATCTATTTGCCGAGCATTTTTTTTATTCCACTACAGGTAACAATAAAAGTGATACAAATGGCTGTGAAGGCAACTGTTTTGATTTCTTTTCAGATTTTGAATACAGTGATGTTACCAGTTTGGATGTTCTTCATTCGATAGGTGAGCTATATAGGCAATAACTTAGGTTCTTGACCTGATGGCATACCTGTTGAATTAAAGGCCACAAAATTTGTATTACCTAATATATTGCCCATGTTGTTCAATTTTTCTCTGTCTAGTGGAGTTTTCCCCGATATATGGAACCGAAGTTATGTAAAACCCGTCTTCAAAAATGTTGTTAGATCTGATGTAAAAAACTACAGAGCAATCTTTGTTATTTGTTGTGAAAGTGATTTTATAAAACTTCAAGAAGACCTACAAAGCTTTACTGTGCGGTGTCGTGTCAGTCTAATGAGTTGGAACTCAATGTAGGTAAATGTTATACAATCAGAGTATCTATCGGTTGAAGATACCCACTCTATACTCCTATGTATTAAATAATCAAGCAAAGCACTGATTAGAGAAGAGATCATAAAGGACCTTGGGGTGATGATAGATAAAGAGTTCACATTCGAACCTCACATAGAATACCGTAAGGTGGGGGTACTTGCAACAGTGGCCCAACTTGCAACAATATTCATTGGGTGGAATTTTTGCTTTCGCCCTCCTCTCGCTTGAGTCGCGCGTCAACCGCTAACGTGTTACCGTTTAGTACGGATCAGTAGGTTGAAATGTGAGTAGGTTTAGCGTTGAAAAATTTTAAACACAAAAAACTTGGCGCCATTTTCTGACAGCTTTAGTAAGTGCTCTAAATTGTTGCAATATAACTTCTCCTGTGCAGAGCTTATTTACCCTAGGATTTGTATCAAATTTTGATATGATGTGCTTGAATGCTTAGTCTAAAACATTGAATATCTAGTTTTGAGTTAATTTTGAAGGTTTTCGTAAATAGATTTTTTTTTAAATTGCATGTACAAAAGTGGGTAACTTGCAACATGCCTCGCAAATACAAAAAACAGTTAGGGAGTAGGACCTACCGTAATTATTCCAACGAAACTTTGGAAAATGCATTAAGGGCCATCGAAAACGGATCAGGGATTCGGGAAGCATCGCGAGAATTCGGGATTGACCCATCAACGCTTTCTCGGAAAAGAAGAAACTTGTTTCCCCTTGATCCTGGTAGGCAGCCTGTATTTCCAAAATTGGCCAAAATTAGCCAAATTTATTTTTTTTAAATATTTTGTGTTGCAAGTAAATTAACACGCGTTCCTAAATACAATTACTACTGAAAAAAGCCACTTGTTGCAAGTATCCCCTTGCAGGTGTTCAACTTGCAACACCCAGTTTTCTTAAAAAATATATATCAAATAATAATGTTGTTCAAAGTTTTTTGTTAGAATCGGATACTAGACCACAAGACTAAAATTTTGGCACCGATTAGGTCAAATTCAACAAAAAAATGAAGAAGCTATCGGAAAAAGAATTTCGAAAATGTTGCAACTAACCCCACCTTACGGTAACTAAAAAAAGGTAAAATTGCTTGGATTTGTCATTTGTTCTCTGCAAGATTTAAATAACATATATTCATTGAAAAATGTTTACTGTGCAGTAGTCAGATCTGTCACTGAATATGCTTGTCCTGTATGGTCTCCCTATTATAAAAAATGGATTGATGAAACTTAGAAAGTCCAAAAAAAGTTTCTGTGTCATGTAGGATATCGACTGAGTATTCCAAGGGATGAACTTCAATATAGTGACATATTGGCTCTCTAGAGATATCGTCACTGGAAAAAAGAAGATTGTACTCTGATCTATGCACATATGTTCAGGCTTTTGATCGGTTTGATTGTTTCGCCGGCATTGTTGCCACTAATTAATTTTAAGATATCAACAAGACAAACACGACAAGATACAGAGTGATCAATATTTTATTATTCACGGCACTTGTAGGAAATCTTTCACGAAAGTCGGTAGGTAATCAAAAACAATTTCACTACTGTAAAAAGATACAAGATGATCAATATTTTATTATCTCTAGTTTTCAATGTAGAAAATCTTTCATGAGAGCAGCTAATACAAAACAATTTTACCCACTGTAATTTGACTCAATGAAAATAAGCCACTGTATAAAGATACAGAGTGAAGAAAGATCAATATTTTATTATTTCCGGCTCAGGTAGGGAATCTTTCACGAGAGCTGTAAATAGAAAACAATTGTATTTGAATTTTCCATTAAACTAGACACCATCCGCCTTATCACCATTTCAACATAAACGTATTAAATATCGACTAACGCCGTTTTCAATTCAGTAATGACATCATATATAGCCGCGCAATTTTACAAATAAACTTTAAATACTTCTATTAAAGAATGTTAATCATTTATTAATAAACCGGCACAAAGTAATCTGACCTTTTTTCACGGATTTTTAAGGTATGGTATAATAGCCTTGGATAAATATGCCCATAAAAAACAGATTGTGTGTATAGTGTCCAATTCGTTCCAATAATTTCTGTAAATTAAAACAAGCAAAATTGTTTAAATAAGATGTATAGAGGATTTAAATATTCGTTTCATTGAAAATCATTTTTTATTCAGCCCCATCACCTTCACCTCTCTCATATTTCTCTAACATAGCATTCACTAATATACATTTAGTCATAAAACATGAACAAAATTCTGGATGTTCGATTTCCTCTGGATCCAGCATAGTCAACTCCAAGACGTACCTGCAAACCAATAACATAATTTTCAACTTGTGCTCAAATTAACTAAAAAATAACCTCCTAAAAGATTCCGAAGACCTTGTCATTGAAAGATCATAACAAATTGGACTTCCAACTTCCACTTTCATAGAATTAGGCAAAACAATTAGGGTTTGTTTCCAATGCGTTTCTGGTTCGTCTGGAGCTGTTGACAAGGTCACGGGCTCTAAATTGCTAGGTTTCGTAGGAATTGGGAAACAACAGCTAAACCACAAACACACGCCTTCATAGGTGTCTATTTTCTTTGACACTGCTACGTGACGTAAATTTATTTCATTTAGGTCTTCAGTGGTTACTTCTCGAAGATCAATCCAGGATACCACCTAAGTAATGGAAGAGTTGCCACATAATAACAAATTTTATCAAGAGATATTCGGCTCTATGATGTATCCTCTCCTGTTATTTTAACAGCTATGTTATAGCTCAACATCTATACTTCTCTCCATTTTGACGTATAGCATAAACAGTGATAGACAACTTAACGTTGCTGTTAAAATAACAGAAAATGATACATCATAGGCCTAATTACCTCTGGTTCTGATAACAGAGAATCTGGACAAATTGCTTCTGTCAAAGGCTTTTTGAAAGATTGTTCCCTTAATAATCTGGAAAAAGATTCCATTCTGACACCACTAACGTTTTCCCAGTTTTTGTATATTGATGGAACACTGAAAGGTTTTTTAAATTCAATTGGAACAAATACAATACATATAGGTTTTCATTGTGTATTCTTACCTACAAGGTGCAGCATATATTGTAGCAGATTCCGGAAAAATCAATCCATTAGGCTTTAAAAACCTATCTCTAGCCAAAATGACGTAATCCAACATCCCTTCATGCAACAAATAAAATCCCATCCATTCTGACACTATAACGTCCACCTTCTCAGGTATTTGTGCTGTTGTAACTTTTTCTATTGGGCTATGGATTACCTGAAAATTGAAATAAATATTTTCCAAATATTTACGTTTCTTATATTCTTGACTTACCCACCTGGACAATATCTTCAACATTGTTTTCTCTAACAATATCCAATGCTAATTTGAACATTCCGCTGGCTTCGACAGCGTAAACTTTCTTGGCGCCTGCCTGGGCACAAAGTACAGATAATATGCCACTGCCAGCTCCTACATCTAAGACCACTTTTCCTTCAATGTCGCGTTTACTGTTAAATATAGCTTCTCGGTAAGCTGCATTTCTTGTGTTGTCTTTTAACATTAATTTGTGGGTCTGAAAAAAAGAATATTTTATTGGAAGAGCTATACAATAGGTAGACTTTTTTTTGTAGAATTTTTAATATTTTCTGTCATAATGGTTATTTATTGTTTATTCAAAAAAAATAAATTGAAAACCTATTGGTATTGGGCTTGAGTTTCCCTCAGTACAGTTGTCAAAGCGGGAGAAGAGCGTTTCATTGATGTTTTCAGCTTTTGGAGCATAGAATAGAATAGAATTTTATTTACAAACAAGCCATTTTACAGTTACAAACCATAGCTGAATAAACATTCCTCAAGGTGTGAATGCTATTAAAATCTTACATATTACGCATTACAAATCCCAATAATCGCATCGCTTTTTTGGATAATCTTGCAATACCTATGTTCAGAAAAATTCAATTCGACATCTAGAAATACGCCAAGATGTTCAATAACATAAACCCTATCAAGTTCGGTTCCATTTATCAAGTAATCAAAAATAATGGGGCTTTTAGATCTATGGAGACATCACTTTGCACTTGTCAACGTTTAGTGCCAAATGATGGTCCACACCAGCTGAAGAAATTGTTAAGTTCCCCTTGCAAGATTTCACAGTCATGGATATTTTTTATGGTGATAAAGACTTTCATGTCATCAGCAAATTTGAGAAATTAACGTCATTCAAGAAAAAATTGAAAAGGAGAGGGGACAGATGCCCACTGTGCAAAACACCACAAGTGATGTTAATCTCTGATGAGACTGAGTTTTCTATCTTCACTCTCTGTTTTCTTCCTGAAAGATGGTCAATCACCCACCTCAAAAATGATCCATGAAACCTCATACTTTCCAGCTTTTTTTCCAGAATTTTATGGTCGAAAATGCCTTGGAGAAGTCGGTATATATCACGTCCTGATACCCCTCCTCCGACGCATCAAACAGAACTTGCTTAAACTCCAACAAATTGGTGACTGTGGATTTGCCTTTCATGAACCCATGTTGTTCTTGTATAATTATATATTAATAGTACATTACAGTCCGCGCTGTGTGCATACGGAGAAACGTATTTGAAGCAGAAGCTGTGGTAATAAATAATACAAAATACAAGGAATGCTTGCAGTATTTATTAAAAACAATGATTAACGTTAAAAGATGCTAAAAATTACGACCACCCGCTTCTATGCATGCGTGACAGCGTCGAAGCATAGCCTCCTGAACACGTTGAAAAATTCCTGACGTTTCGTGAATTTCAGCAGCTGCTGCAACAATCCTTTCCACTAACTGTTCCTCTGTTTTAACTGGAGTGTTGAACACAAGAGCTTTCATGTGACCCCATGAAAAAAAGTCGCATTCGGTCAGGTCTGGTGATCGTGAACCTGTGGAATGGAGGCCATGCAATAGGTGCGCCTTTACCAATCTTTCTCCAGATTATGTTTCATTGAGATGTTCCCTTACGGCTAACGAGTAATGTAATAGAGCTCCGTCGTGTTGGTACCACATATGTTCTGTCTGGCATACATGGGAACAGTATTTCTAACAGTTCGGGAAAGGTTTCCTGCAGAAATCTACTCGATGTTTCTGCTACGACGCTGTCAGGCATTTATTGATGCGGGTAGTCGTAATTTTGTTTATTTTGGCGAGATCTATCATCCCTTAATTTTTGGCACAATAGTTTCGGAACACCCTGTATATATCCATGACATTGGCTACGTTCACCAGAACCAAAACGGGTTGTAAACCGTTTACAATACCAACAGAATACGTTAGATAAACTCTTGGTTCTGCTATACGATTCAACTTTTCAATGATAGAACGTCACCCTCTGAATGTCATGTCACCACACAAAACAAAAAGTGTTGAAAATAAAATTATAAACACCCTTAAATTATGCTTGCAAAAATGGCGACCGTTTGCAAAACATGTTTGGTTTCAACACAAATTCAACGTAGCGTTCAGCAGAACAATCGTAAAGCGTATCTGGTGAACGCGGCCATTAATGAACAAAAAACCTAAATTAACTGAAATTGTTTGAATCATTATATACCCTATATACGGAGCTAAAATGATCTTTAAAAAGCTCTACAATTTCTGCAGGTGAATCTGCTTATTTATCTTTCAAAGTCATACAACTGGGAAAACCTTTGGAATCTGTTTTAGATCCTATGTAACTCCAAAACCAATTTTTATCTTGAACCCTATCCTCTATGCAATCCAAGTAGTTTTGATAGCTGATGGGGGCATATTGTTTGCACTGCATATGTAGCTGTGAGAATCCATCGTAGTCCTCCAATGAAGATGTTTGCTTAAGGTTTTTGTGTGCGGCTTTTTTGTTTAGGATTAGTTCTTTTAAAGTATCATCCATCCACTTTGGAAAAATGGGATTCAATAGCATTATTAAGTATATTATAAAATGATTGACCTAATTTCTCCAAGTCATCAATTTTGAAAAAACACTACCCTAATCAACCACTGATTTTAGTATCAAGGCAACTTTCTCGACGCATTTTTGAGTGGACTTTAACTCAGACTTTAATGTGGTGATATTATTTTAGAAATTCGACGTTTCGGTTTTCCAAGGCCATCATCAACCTAAATTTTTCTAATAAGGAAATTCCGACGTTTCGACCAGCTCAAATTCTCTATGATTGCATAATTTAAAATTATAATATATACCTAATAATAATCAAATGATAATAATCTTTCCAGAGAGCAATTTATCTCCATCTCAAATTCAAGCGCTGGATGCGGTTTGTCCAATTTTAACAGTGGGCTTGGACATATATTAATAATAAGGTTTGTAACATTGCTAAATATCAAGTCTAAAAAGTTACCATAATGATTTGAAATCCTATTAAGTTGTGTCAAATTAAGAAAGGCCATACACTCTGCTAAACACCTGATTCCATCAGATCTCAACCTGCATGGTCTGCTTCCACACTCATCATCATCTATCCATGATACCTTTGGCCTGTTAAAATCACCACATCACCGTTCACTTCACACAGTGAGTCAGGGGGAATATAAACATTTGCAAAAAAATGTGCTTTTTTTCCAACTTCAACATTATAAAGAGCTGCTCTAAAGAATCTATGTTGAATTGCAGTAGTTGACACTTTAGGATTTTATTAACTGCGATTAACACCCCACCTTGAGACTTATACACACTTGTTTTATTGCACCGATCTCACCTAAATATGATATTTGTGTTTTGTAGCCCTAGCTCACTTGTATCAATGTCCAATGTTGGAGACAGAAATAACATCACATTTGCTCGAGAGTAGCCTGACATTAATTAAGTTTAATAAGTCATATTTTGGACAAAAATAGTGCTCTCGTGCTTTATAAAACTGATGAAATGCAGAAAGACAAACAAATTCGCAAAGTTCCTCAGGATCACAAAAAAAATCATGCAAAAAAGCAACAATTCACAATAATGGAACATCGTTACATCAACAACAATTATTATCACAATATGTACTCAGAACAAGTAATGATAACTGAAGATTTACCAACCCAGCTTTGCTGCTCATAATTTGATAGAGATTTGGGTACCAAAGGCAACCTGAATGGTCAATACATGCAACAGAAGTGTATATAAAAGAGCTTGCAAGTTTTATTGGATGACTAAAAAGTGAAATATTCGTGTTGTCAGATTAGAATTCAAAGATAAGGTCTCTTAGCTCTTTATTATTGAAAATGCTATGGCAGACACTGCATCTTATAGATGTGAAATGAGCTGAAATGCTGGCCATTAATGTAATATCCCGAATTAAAAATTAATTCTTTCAAACATGAACCTTTGAATATGTTTATTTTCTAATCATCTATCTACAGCTGATGGACCAACCCTAAAACTAAATGAGCTAATAAACTTATATTGGTATCTACCTTTTTTTTTTAAATTTGTAATGGTAAGTACCTAAATTTGTTCGAGTTGTAGAAACCGCACTTATTATAAGGAACAGACCCTGTACAGGGTATCCGAATTTGGATGGTTTTAATATGAAACGTCAATTTTTGAGCGAGATACAAAAAAATGAGCCCCCCACTCCGAGGCCCGGATTTCTTGAAATTTTGATTGGTGCAAACCGCATTTTGATATCTTCAACCGTTTAGCCGCTAGAGGGCGATTCTCGATTTTGAGCAATACAGTGAAATCTTCATAACTTTTTCGTTTATGAAAATAACTGATTTCCGTAAAAACTTCCTAAAAGCACTTTTTCAAGCAGAATTCAGTGACGTTTTCAGTTTTTTTCTATTGGGCCTCGGTTTCAAAATATTGATCAAAATCCGATTTTTTCAATGGGACACCCTATATATTAATAGCTCTTTAGAAAGCTCTACTTTGGCTGATTTCAATGATACAAATTTCGTTGGGTTTATCTCCAACAGTTTTCCAGAAAAAAAAAAAAAAAAACTATTTTGGTTTTTGTCATAAGAAACAATGAGTTAGAAAGAGACCTTTCTCATTTTTCTTACAAATATAAAGACCTTTTTTAACACATTGTTTCTTATGGAAAAAAACGAAATAATTTTTTTTTTCAAAAAAATTACTAATAATCAATATTTTATAAATTATTATAGTAACTATCGGAAAATGTGTAGAAAAGTTATCTAACCAGCAAAACTACAATATCATAAAAATTGAATTTCCAATGCAAAGAGCTGTTCAAAAGAGGCTTGGTCCGTTGTGAACGACCTTAGGGGCAAACATAGCTATGCAAAAAGGTCAGCTTATAATTTGAAAACTATAACTCCTAGAGAAAACCTGACTACGTCACTGGAATTTACGTAAAAATATCTACTAGAACCCGTTGTCACCTTTTTGATCAGTTATGAGAGAACCAAGATACAAAATGCAACTTTTTCAAAAACACCTTGTATCCTTCCAACTCCAATAGCAACAGAGTTATTGGACATCCAAAATGGGACATATTGTACATCCAAAATGGGACATATTGTACAGGGTGTCCCATTTTCTATGTTTTTTATAGGCTATATCGAAAACCAGCAGAGATATCAAAAATCTGGGAACAC